TGCCCTACATCCTACCGACCTCTGGACGCTGCCCTACATCCTACCGACCTCTGGACGCTGCCCTACATCCTACCGACCTCTGGACGCTGCCCTACATCCTACCGACCTCTGGACGCTGCCCTACATCCTACCGACCTCTGGACGCTGCCCTACATCCTACCGACCTCTGGACGCTGCCCTACATCCTACCGACCTCTGGACGCTGCCCTACATCCTACCGACCTCTGGACGCTGCCCTACATCCTACCGACCTCTGGACGCTGCCCTACATCCTACCGACCTCTGGACGCTGCCCTACATCCTACCGACCTCTGGACGCTGCCCTACATCCTACCGACCTCTGGACGCTGCCCTACATCCTACCGACCTCTGGACGCTGCCCTACATCCTACCGACCTCTGGACGCTGCCCTACATCCTACCGACTCTACGCTGCCCTACATCCTACCGACCTCTGGACGCTGCCCTACATCCTACCGACCTCTGGACGCTGCCCTACATCCTACCGACCTCTGGACGCTGCCCTACATCCTACCGACCTCTGGACGCTGCCCTACATCCTACCGACCTCTGGACGCTGCCCTACATCCTACCGACCTCTGGACGCTGCCCTACATCCTACCGACCTCTGGACGCAGCCCTACATCCTACCGACCTCTGGACGCTGCCCTACATCCTACCGACCTCTGGACGCTGCCCTACATCCTCTGGACGCTGCCCTACATCCTCTGGACCTCTGGACGCTGCCCTACATCCTCTGGACCTCTGGACGCTGCCCTACATCCTCTGGACCTCTGGACGCTGCCCTACATCCTCCTGGACCTCTGGACGCTGCCCTACATCCTCCCGACCTCTGGACGCTGCCCTACATCCTCCCGACCTCTGGACGCTGCCCTACATCCTCCCGACCTCTGGACGCTGCCCTACATCATCCTCCCGACCTCTGGACGCTGCCCTACATCCTCGACCTCTGGACGCTGCCCTACATCCTCCCGACCTCTGGACGCTGCCCTACATCCTCCCGACCTCTGGACGCTGCCCTACATCCTCCCGACCTCTGGACGCTGCCCTACATCCTCCCGACCTCTGGACGCTGCCCTACATCCTCCCGACCTCTGGACGCTGCCCTACATCCTCCCGACCTCTGGACGCTGCCCTACATCCTCCCGACCTCTGGACGCTGCCCTACATCCTCCCGACCTCTGGACGCTGCCCTACATCCTCCCGACCTCTGGACGCTGCCCTACATCCTCCCGACCTCTGGACGCTGCCCTACATCCTCCCGACCTCTGGACGCTGCCCTACATCCTCCCGACCTCTGGACGCTGCCCTACATCCTCCCGACCTCTGGACGCTGCCCTACATCCTCCCGACCTCTGGACGCTGCCCTACATCCTCCCGACCTCTGGACGCTCCCCTACATCCTCCCGACCTCTGGACGCTCCCCTACATCCTCCCGACCTCTGGACGCTCCTCTACATCCTCCCGACCTCTGGACGCTCCTCTACATCCTACCGACCTCTGGACGCTGACTTACATCCTACCTACACTGGCCAGAGATCAGAGTAGATAGCCAGGCCTGAAACCAATTAAAAAAATCAGCCTGCAGTACCAGATGTTTTGCTTTCATGATGAACTCCAGCATCAGTCTTGTAAGGGTAACCAATTACTCCCCAGGCATGAAAAAAATTGCGAATGAAAGTGAATGCCAAGTTTCTCACTGAAGCTAACTTTTGAGGTAGGCTAAGTTTATATTTTTACAGTGGCATTAATTTTAGTAGATTTCTCTAGGTTTTCTTCATGATGATTTTTTTTTTTATTGGAGACTTGCTAGGTACAGTTGTGTTCAAAATAATAACAGTGTGTTGAAAAAAGTGAATAAAGCTCAAAATCCTTCTAATAGCTTTTATTTCCATACACACAAATGCATTGGGAACACTACACATTCTATTCCAAATCAAAACATGAAGAAAAATATATCAAATTTGTGTTGTTCTTCTGAAAAAAAAAAAAAAGAAAAGTAAATATTAGACTGTTCAAAAAATAGCAGTGTTTGTATTCTTCTTTACAAACTCAAACATTCACTATATAAACTGAAAAATGTTTGAAGATTTTGCTTTTCTTTGAATCACTTAATGAATATTTAGTTGTATAAGCACTGTTTCTGAGAACTGCTGTACATCTGTGTTGCATGGAGTCAACCAACTTCTGGCACCTGTGAACAGGTATTCCAGCCCAGGATGATTGGACTACATTCCACAGTTCTTCTCTATTTCTTGGTTTTGCCTCAGAAACTGCATTTTTGATGTCACCCCCCCACAAGTTTTCTATTGGATTAAGATCCGGGGATTGGGCTGGCCACTCCATAACGTCAATCTTGTTGGTCTGGAACCAAGATGTTGCACGTTTACTGGTGTGTTTGGGGTCATTGTCTTGTTGGAACACCCATTTCAAGGGCATTTCCTCTTCAGCATAAGGCAGCATGACCTCTTCAAGTATTCTGATGTATTCAAACTGATCCATGATCCCTGGTATGAGATAAATAGGCCCAACACCGTAGTATGAGAAACATCCCCATATCATGATGCTTGCACAACCATGCTTCACTGTCTTCACAGTGTACTGTGGCTTGAATTCAGTGTTTGGGGGTCGTCTGACAAACTGTCTCCGGCCACTAGACCCAAAAAGAACAATCTTACTTTCATCAGTCCACAAAATGTTGCGCCATTTCTCTTTAGGCCAGTCAATGTGCTCTTTGGCAAATTGTAACCTCTTCAGCACATGTCTTTTTTTCAACAGTGGGACTTTGCGGGGGCTTCTTGCAGATAGCTTGGCTTCACATAGGCGTCTTCTAATTGTAACAGTACTCACAGGTAACTTTAGACCTTCTTTGATCTTCCTGGAGCTGATTGGTGGCTGAGTCCTTGCCATTTTGTCTATTCTTCTATCTATTGGAATGGTAGTTTTTCGCTTTCTTCCACATCTTTCAGGTTTTGGTTGCCATTTTAAAGCATTTGTGATCATTTTAGCTGAGGAGCCTATCATTTTCTGAACTTCTTTATATGTTTTCCCCTCTCCAATCAACTTTTTAATCAAGGTACGCTGTTCTTCTGAACAATGTCTGGAACAACCCATTTTCCTCAGAATTTCAGAGAGAAATGCACTGTAACCAGCATGTACAACATTTGCTGCCTTCCTTCCTTAAATAAGGGCAATAACTGCCACCTGTTTTTCAAAGAATGAATGACCTCACTAATAGAACTCCACACTGCTATTATTTTGAACATGCCCCTTTCAATTAGTGATTCAATTACACAGAATCGGCAGCATGCATGTCATGACTGTTGGGTCTGTTGGATTTCTATTACTCTGCTACACCCGCTAGTAAATTATTTGCCATGTAAAAATATCATTTCTACCAAAAACAGTGATTGATCAGGTTAGTGATGTCTGACTGCTATTATTTTGAACACAACTGTAATTTACAAAAGTTGGTGCAGCACCCTGGTGATCTTTGATCCCTTCAATATTGTCCATGTAGATCTCCATCTCTCAAAGGTTGCCTGCCTCTACCTTAGAGAGAGCAGTGGTTCAGTGACATTCAACCAGGGTTAGGCTGAGTTCCCAGTCTTGGGCATGGATGAATGGTTCAGCAGCAGATGAAAACATGCTTCAGACCTTGGCACAGTGTTAGGTATTGGTTGTTCAGGTGTTACCACAGTGTGGATGACATAGGGTGGAGGCCTGATTTTGTTTGTCATCAGGAAATCAGGGCTGCAGACCCAGTAAGGGCAGAAACTTTCAATTGTCTTTATTAATTAGCATCATTGTGCTTTTTGTATGACCCTTCTCTCATCTGGGGAAAACCTAAACTTTTGTGGCATTTTGGCCTTTTTTCAGTCTTTGTTCCAAAAATTTTAGAGTTGTCTCCAGAACAAGAGTTGAGGGGAAATCTTCTAACAGGGACACTTGTTCAAGGGACAACTGTCTAAGAGGGGGATTGCCATCACTGTGGAAGATTTCCACTAACTTCTTGTTGCGTTTCTTGAGACAGGAAGTGAACGGAAATATCCCCAATGGTACAAAGACAGAAAAGATGAAAAAAAAACTGTCAAGGGGTTTAACCCTTTCCCCCTTCCCTACTCTTATCAAACTAGAAAAGGCTATACATACACTTTAATTTAAAGGAATTTACAAAAGGAGGAGTTAGGACTTTTCATACTTTTCTGGCTGCATTCTAGTTTCAGGTCATTGACTCATTTGTAAGTTTCTGGTGCCTCCACCTTTCTAAAAAGTCATAAAGGGCACAACGGACATTTCTGCCCTCAGTTTCTGTTAAGGTTATAAAATTAACTACTGTTGGGTGACGTAGAAAGACAGACATTGTAAGAAACAATATATATTGATGAGGAGAATCCCTTCAGGAGGGCAATGAAAAGGAATATGTAGGCTGATTCTGAGCCTGCCTTCTGAAAATACTAGCTATTTGGTTACTATACTGATTCCCTTTAGCCTTAACACTTTTGCAGATCAAAGATTCTGACTAGACATGCTTTGTGGCCTGTTGAATAAATGCACAATTGTATTTTGTTTTGTGTATGGGCAGCAGGAGCAGTCACTTACTTTGGGATATCATGGAGGAGTAATGAAGACTATTACCCATAAGGGTAAATCCAGTTCATTAAACACTTTAATAAATTAGAACAATAAAAAAAAAGCTCAAAAAGTAGCCTATATCCATGCACTAAATGTGAAATAAATTCTATCAATCATATAAATCAAACCGTGACTGGAGATGCTATTTTAAATAAAATACAATAAAAAAAAAATACATTAGTGTAATAACACCATAAACAGCGCTGTTTATGGTGTTATTACTTTAATAAATTAGTCCTCCTTTCACATACTGATGCTTATACTATGCATTTAGATGTCCTATTTCTTTAAGCTTGTGTGATCCTGTTTTATTTATTGCTGTTTTTTTTATTGCTTTGATTGCAGGACATTGCTTGTCAATGCAGGAGCTGTGTTGAACTTCAAACTGTAAGTTTATTTTTCTGTTCTTTTCTTTCAATGCAATTGTTTGTTTAGTTTAGATATTCTCAGCAAGTGGTTGTAAAGGCTCAAGATTGTTTACCTTTATGCATTCAGAACCACATCTTTCCATGAACTTGTGATTAATAAGTAATGCTACAAAAATTATTTACAGTACAAACTAATGGCAACTGCCCCAATCTATAACTGGCCTTTGCAGGAAGGGGTTTAGTTTGCAAATGTGTGCAAACTAAACCCCTGTTTTTAACACAAACTGTTAGAACAATTAGGTTGGTTGCAGGCTGGTCGGTAAGTTGAGCTGGGAATTTTTCTTTTTGTTGTTTTACAAAAAATATTTAGGCATTGTCTGTTGTTGTGATTGATTCTGTACTACTGTGCTGTCCAACAGCTGTACATAATTTATGAAGTTTGACTTGTTGCCTTGCGTTCTTCATTCATTTGAATGACTATCTTTACATTCTGTGATTTAGCAAAGGGGCACACTAACGCATAGAGAAATTAGTGCTCGTTTACACTTTGTACTGTAAAGGCAGCAGACAGAGATGTACACAAGCGTTGGCTGTGATGCTCTGCTTTGGGGTATAGTAAAAATGACTCTCCCTGATTGACCGGCACCAATGTCCGCTGAACACAACCAATTTAACTGAGCAGGGCAATGCCACATCCACCTAGCAGCTGCGTGCAATGCAGGGCAGTGTGTGCTTTTAGGGGTTAAAACAGGCAGTGAGGAGGTGACATATCACCTCCTCACTGCCTGTCCAATGCCCTCTGAAAAGCGATTGTAAAGTAAACTGGATTTCCAGGTTCAGAAAACCAGTGCAGACTCATCTCATGCTTATGTGCATGTGCATTGTGCCATTCATACTTCCAGGCAAAAGAACTATACCATACATACTGCGACAGTTCATCACATGCACGTGTATATAGCAATTGGCATGCACACTTGGCACCCAGCGGCCTATTTAAACTGATGTGTCACTGAGAGAAGTTGCTGAATGATCTTCAGCTTGTTCCCTTGTTTCCTGAGATCTGATTGTTGCATATGCCTACCTTTGTATGTACCTGGCTTTCCCCTGGACTTCAGCTCTGCTTTCTGCCTCAACTCTGCTCATCTGGTTACTTTTTAACCTCAACCTGAATACTGGACCTGTTTATGCTTTCTGATTCTGTATTGCTTTGTAATACAGTTATCCAATTGAACTGATAACCAGGAGCCAGAGCTTGACGCCTTATGTCAATACCTTGATGAGAACTTGGAAAGGGGTTCATTCATCCATCCACATTCCCTGCTGGGGCTGGCATATGATTTGTAGAAAAAAAAAAAGATCACTCTGAGGCCCTGTGTTGACTATAGAGAAATGAACAAAATAAATGTCCAAAACAGGTTCCCCCTGTCCCTTGTTCCAGAACTCGTTCAGCGGTTCACAACAGCAAATGTTTTTTATTTATAAAACTTGACTTGCAAGGAGCATATAACCTGATAGGGGATCCAGGAATAGGAAAACAGCCTGTTGTACCCGCTTTGAGCGTTTTGAATGTTTATTGATGCCTTTTGGACTGTGCAATGCCCCCGCTATCTTTCAGCATTTCTTTAGGGACATTCTTGATCTCTTCATGATTGTCTGCTGTGATGATATTCATTCATCTTTTCTCCGTTCTCTTCATCCATGGAAGAACAACAAGTGCTAGTTAGGTTTTCAGCTGTCTCTGGAAACACCAGCTGTATGCTAAAGCTGAAAAATTAGTTTGAGAAAGAGACAATCCAGTTCTTGGGTTTGATTATCCCGAACTCGGGTATCTCAATGGATCCCCAGAAGGTTTTTGTCATTCTCAAGTGGCCTTTTCCAGCAGTTCAGAAGGGTGTCCAGAGATTCGTTGACATTGCCAATTTTAACCGCAAATATATCAAGAACTTTTAATCCATCATCAGCCCCACTTGCCCATCTCACTAAACAAAATATTAAAAATTTAAGGTTCTCTTCACATCAGCACAGATTCTGTGACATCCTGATTTCACACTACCTTTCACTCTTGAAGTGGATGCTTCAGAAAATGCAGTTGGCCTGCAATCGAATGCTCCTGTTCTCTCTCCCCCTTGTTTTATTTTAATTAAGTGGTCTTGCATGGCAAGACCACTTACTGTTATCTCACATATATATTCTTATTATTATAGCCAAATTTACCACCCTAACTCCTCCCACAGTTTTTACACTACATAGGCAGTAATATACCGAAACGTGCAGTTCCCGATTGGTGTGCTATTAGGGCAGAGAAGTTCTTTGTGGAACGTTTCGCCGAATGGTTCATGAAATACCGGTGTTTTTGTGGTGAAATTGGTCCCATAGGAATGAATGGCGGAATGTTCAAAACTAGAGTGGGAGCTGACAAAAGCTAGAGTGTGAGCTGAAAAATCAGGACATGATTTCTAAACTGCCATCACTCCCTCATTTTCGAGCCCACCTACACAAATCTTATATCAAAACGTTCAGCTATCCCTGCTGCCACTAAAAATGTCCACGGCTAAGCCATAGTCCTGATAGTTTTCACAATATGACCATTTGTTTGCAACTCACGCCGCCCATTGACATTCATTGAAACTGCACTCTAGCCACCTCAAATTTGAAGGGCAATTTCTAAACTGCGACTTTGCCTTCATTTTTAATATTTCAGAGACATACTATGCATCAAAATGTAGGTCTGGGTCTTGTGATTCTCACAATATAAAGCTCTTCGCTGTAGGATTTATAGTTTTTAAAACGACGACCATTTGAAGATGCCAGTGAAGTGAGCAATTTGGAGCAGTTTGTTTTTAACCGCCCTTCTCTGCCCTATTTGAAATCTAATTTTGAATTTGTGACAGTTTGGCCGGCTTCTGGTTAAAGGTTTGGAAATAAGTTTTCTACAGTAGAGAGTATATGAGGTGATAATGCTGCTAATGTTTTTATAAATGTATGTTTTAATGTAACTGTGAAACACTTTGGGCAACAACATTGCAATTAAATGTGCTATATAAATAATTAAAAGTTGAAATGCATTTCTCACTCTATCAAGCTTGCCATGTGCACTTTTTAAATTTGATCAATCCATTGGTTAGTGTAATGTTTACTATCTTTACTCACTCCAAACACTCCACACAGTTACTCTGCCCACTCCATAAAGTTACTCTGCCCAGTCCAACCTTTTCACAGTTACTCCAGCCACTCCAACCACACAACAGTTACTCAAGCCACTCCACCCAGTTACTCCGCCCACTTCAGTTGTAGACAACTGGTGGAGGCAAGAACACTTCACACAGTTTCCCCAGAAATTGTAGCTTTTCTAGTTGTACTTTACTGTGCGTTCCATTTTTGTTAACATGTAAACGCTAATAAAAATGATTGAACCAGAAAATGCAATTGGTGCCATTCTATCACAACACCACAGTGCCAAGTCACTGCTACACCCGTTGGCCTTTTTCTCAAAGAAACTCAGTTCTTTGGAAAGGAATTATGACATTATAGATCTTGAGTTGCTTGCCATCAGGTCCTTAGAGGAATGGCATCACCTGCTTGAGGGTGCTAGTCATCTTATTCTGACTTTCAGAGATTGCAAGAGCCTGGAGTACCTCCATATAGCCAAGTGGCTGAAACCCTGCCAGGCCATATGGGCCTTCTTCTTCTCAGGATTTTCACTTTCACATGGACCAGACTTAAAGAATGGTAAACCCGATGTGCTGTCATGTATGATCCTAGATGAAATGGAGTCAACTCAGCCTGATGTCATTATGCTTCCACAAAATTTCCTGCTGCTTCAAGAAGACTTCGTTTCACCACTCAAGCAAGCTTTGCGGGAATGGGTCTGATTGTTTCTACATGAGCAAAGCGTTTTTGTGCACTCAAGCTTACACATCAAGTAATCTTGAATCTGTGTCATGACCACCCCTTGGCTGGGCATTTTGGAGTACAGAAGACCTTGGAACGTTTACATTGGTCCTTTTCGTTGCCTAGCCTGAAGGCCGATTGTCAGGACTTTATATAGGCCTGTGAAATATGTACCTGAAACAAAAGTGACAACACAAAAGCCTGGGGCATATTAAGGCCTTTGCCCATTTCTAGGAAGCCTTGGGAAACTATTAACGTGAACTTTATCATAGAACTCCAACCATCTAAAAATTTCCAAATCATTTTTGTGATAATCCAATAGGTTATCCAGGATGGCTTACTTTGTGCCAATGGTTGGCGCACCATTTGCGGTAGAGACTACACAGGTATTTATCAAAGAAGTAGTAAAACTGCATGGGGTTCTTTGGAGCATATTCTCTCATCAAGGGGTTCAGTTTACATAGAAATTCTGGAAAGAACTTTGTACGTCACTTAAGATTGAGACCTGGTTACCATGCAAGGTAACTGGACTTCACTCCTTCCTCTATTGGAGTTCGTTTACCATGATTTATTTACCCTTCTTTTTTACCTGACATAATCTCTGCTTTACCAGTAGTCCAGAAGAGAGTGGAATTCCTGAAAGCAAACAATAAAATTCTACAGAAAGCTATCTCTAAGGCCCAACAAGACGACAAAAAATGATTTGATAAAAAGAGAAGGGGTGACCTGGACCTCAAACCAGGTGACGGGGTTTGGCTATCAACCACCAATTTGAAACTGGCTTGCCTTTTCAAGAAACTGGGTCCCAAGTACATTGGTCCATTTGGTCCAACAACTCAATATTTAATAAAGCAGAAGGGTTATGATCCAAAAGAAAACTCATGGGAACCGAAAAAGAACGTTCACACCCCAAGACTGGTGAAAAAGTTTTTTCAAACTCACCCTGGGCAGATGTCCCAGATTGGCATCAGGAGGCTGCCGGTTAGGGAGGACAATGTAAGGTAAACAGGATTCCACAGTTCATAAAACCAGTGCAGATTAAGGGTGATTTGCGTAAGCATACTAGATGTACTATGACGGTTCGCTGTGAATGCAGCAGCTGGCATGCACACTTGGTGTCCAACCACCTACTTAAACTGATGTATCGCTTAGAGAAGCTGCTGAATGATCTTCAGCTTGTTCCTGTGTTTCCTGAGACCTGATCTGTTGAATTTGCCTACCTTGTATGACCCTGCTTTCCCCTGGACTTTGCCTCTGCTTTCTGCCTCAACTCTGCTAATCTGCTTACCTTTTACCTTAGCCTAATTACTGAACTTGTCGCTGCATTCTAATTCCTGGACTTACTCTGTCTGTGGATTCAGTCCCATGCTGCCCAGCTGGTATTGACTTCGGCCTGCTCTCCAGTTTCCTCTACTATCCTCTGCTCTGGTGCCAAGCTGTTTCTGTGTCCTGAGGACTGTAGCTTCCAGGTCTACCCACCTGCAGTCGGATACTGTTAACCAACGAATATGGCACTCGTGCCACTCCCTGTCTCCACACTCTGTCTCCACCTTCAGGAGTGTTGGGCATTAGGTGCAAGAGAAGCCTCCACCACGTTCTAATCTCCATAAGGTATGTGATAGTACCATTCAGTCATGACTCGGACTGGAGGGGGGACTTCTCCCTTGGGGGCACTATGCTAAAAGATCGCATCACCACCAAAAAGCATATCTAAACAAGTCGTAAAATTTGACCTGAACTCAAAGTGAAGATTTACAATGTTATCAGCAACATCTAGAAATGGTATGCGTGCCTTAGCATTACCCTTTTTTTGTCTGCAATTCCTCCAACAAAACAGTGCGCTTCTAGGTTTGTTAGTGTGCTTAGGTCTCCATAGCAGTCTCCTCATAGCTGTATATCAGCTGCTTAAAATTTTAAGGCACTGCCTGCTAATTTTGGGAGATTTTATGTCAATACTGTTAGCCTTGCTGGTACCTCTGACATGAAGCAAAGCCTTGCCTTTACCAAGATGGCACCCTCCACGCAGACACAGTGCAGAACAAGGCATGGTAAGTGCATAAGGAGGAAAGATCAGTTGCAGGGAGACCACAGGCAATACTGGTGACTAGTCCATCACCTTCAAACCTGCCTTTTCTTGGACACTGCTTCCAGAGTTTTTTTCAGCGTTGTGCTGCAGCCGCGCTTTGTTTATGTGTTGTAGAGCAGGCTTCGGGCTCTGTAACAGTAGTGAATCTGCCCAATCACATATATAAGTGAAAGAAACAAAATTTCTCAGGCAGGTAAAGGGCAAATGAATCCTGCACTGTAGAAGTGTAAAGGCTGCCATAGCTGGCTTTTAAAAATTCTAATTTGCTGGCTGTTACAGATCTACTGTTGTGCTGTCTGAGTCTCTGACTACTTGCTCACTTGTGAATGGAGCCCTTTGCGAGTAGCTGTGGGAGACTGGGAAATTCTCTGAAATCAGGCGGGAAGCCCCTTTAAAAAAGCAATGGATGAACTGACTGCTTCCGCAGCTATTTGCAGCCGATCACATGTGTTTATTAATATTATTATTATACATAAAATATAGTGCCAAGAGTTTGCGCAGCGCTTTGAAAATAAAGGTAGACAGTACAGTTACCATACAATCCAAGAGGAATCAGAGGACCCCACTTGTTAGAGTTTACAATCTAAGAGGGAGGGTATGTAATGGCTCATGCAGTGATCATCTGAAAATGATCAGCCCTTTATGCAGACAACCTGTGGATGGAGGCAGACTATCTCTTGGACTCTCCATGCCCAAATTTCTTATGCTTTATTTTAAGTACTGAAAACACACTTAAAAGAGAAGTACAGCCAAAGCTCTTTTGGCTGTACTTCTCCTTTGGATAACAGGAGTGCAGTTTATTCTGCACTCCTATGACCCATTTTCAGCTGACAGCAGGCTGAAGCCTGGTGTCAGCTGATCTCATTCAGCTGGTGCAGGCTGGGGAAAGATCCCTACTTTAAAGTCATGATCCACCCCAGAGTCTGGAGCTGCACCTGTCTCTGTCTCCCAGCGAGCTACTTAGAGCCTGAGCCAGCCACTCCCGCCCCCCCTCCACAGCCCAGCACTCCAGTGAGCACGCGCGGGGTATGTATGTATGTACAGTCCACAAGCCGACAGCTTTCTAATGAAAGCAATCTGATTATCACTTTCTTTGACCCCAGAATACAGGGCATCCAGAAAGTATTCACAGCGCTTAACTTTTGCCACATTTTGTTATATAACAGCCTTATTCCAAAATTGATTAAATTCATTTTTTTCCTCAACATTCTACAAACAATACCCCATAATGAAAATGTGAAAGAAGTTAGTTTTGAAATCTTTGCAATTTATGAAAAAAAAAAACCACATGTACACAAGTATTCACAGCCTTTGCCATGACACTCATAATTGAGCTCTGGTGCATCCTGTTCCCACTGATCATCTTGGAGAAGTTTCCACAACTTGATTGGAGTCCACCTGTGGGAAATTCAGTTGATTGGACATGATTAGGAAAGGCATAAACCTGTCTATATAAGGTCCCACAGTTAACATTGCATGTCAGAGCACAACAAACCAAGCCATAAAGTCCAAGGAATTGTCCATTGACCTCTGAGACAGGATTGTATCAAGGCACAGATCTGGGGAAGGGTACAGAAAAAAATTCTGCAGCATAGAAGGTCGCAATGAGCACAGTGGCCTCCATCATCCATAAATGGAAGAAGTTTGGAACCACCAAGAATCTTCCTAGAGCGGGCCACCCAGCCAAAATGAGCCATCGAGGGAGAAAACTCTGGTCTGATGAAACAAAGATTGAACTCTTTGGCCTGACTGTCAAGCGTCATGTCTGGAGGAAACCAGGCACCACTCACCACCTGGCTAATACCATCCCTACAGTGAAGCATGGTGGTGGCAGCATCATGCTGTGGGGATGTTTTTCAGCGGCAGGAACTGGGAGACTAGTCAGGATGGAAGGAAAGATGAATGTAGCAATGTACAGAGACATCCTTGATGAAAACCTGTTCCAGAGCGCTCTAGACCTTAGACTGGGGCGACCGTTCATCTTTCAACAGGACAACAATTCTAAGCACACAGCCCACATAACAAAGGAGTGGCTACGGGCCAACTCTGTGAATGTCTTGGAGTGGCCCAACCAGAGCCCAGACTTGAACCCGATTGAACATCTCTAGAGAGATCTGAAAATGGCTGTGCACAGAGACTCTTCATCCAACCTGCTGGAGCTTGAGAGGTACTGCAAATAAGAATGGGAGAAATTGCTCAAAAATAGGTGTGCCAAGCTTGTAGCATCATACTCAAAACAACTTGAGGCTGTAATTGGTGCTAAAGGTGCTTCAACAAAGTATTGAGCAAAGGCTGTGAATACTTATGTACATGTGGCTTTTTTAATTTTTTTATTTTTAATAAGTTGCAAAGATTTCAAAACAAACTTCTTTCATGTTGTCATTATGGGGTATTGTTTGTAGAATGTTGAGGAAAAAAATTAATTTAATCCATTTTTGAATAGGGCTGTAACATAACAAAATGTGGCAAACGTTAAGCGCTGTGAATACTTTCTGGATGCACTGTATGCCGTTGTCTCATTTTAAAAGAACCTGTGTTAAAAATATTATATCACATAGGGGACTTTTAGTCCTCAATGTTATATAAATAAAATTGTATTGAAAGTAAAAAAAAAAAAAAAAGTCGTCATATAATAGTTACACCCAAGCACTGTGTTTGTGTGCCCTAAAATTAACTTTAGTGCATTTTTTAACTGAATTTTTTGCACTTGATAAACCATTGCATAAAATATTTCTGTGACATAAAGAATTGGAATTCCTATCAATTTATTTTACAGGGTCTCTGCTTTCAGAAAATTCATATTTTTGAGGGTTTTATTAATCTTCAAACCTTCAGTCAAAACTTTTTTTTTTTTTTTTTTTTTTTGGCCATATGTATCCCATTATTGAGATTTCACTTCCTGCCCCATAGCCAGAGTGTCCTCATTGGAAAATTTCCCCTTTATTCCTGTTCTGATTCACTTTTCACTCAATTATCTCGCTCCACAACTAAAAAACAATAAAATATCTGTATCTGCATATCTGTAAGGCTCACTCAACACTAAAAAGTTATCTGCATTCGGATCACTTTTCAGAGACATTTCACTGTCAGAGAGGAGGCGATGTGACTCCTCCTCACTGTCTATTTGAACTCCATAATTTCCACACCAACTTTCCACAACTGCTTGTATAGCCACCAAAACTTGTGTTCATTAGCACTTCTGTGCTAAAATTGTGTGATTTAAGCATAATATAGAAAAAGAACATTTGATGTGTAAGATGAGCTTTTCATTTTTTGTTTTCAACTGAACACTTTTATTTTCCTTGATATCTCTGATGTACTTTTGAATGTTTGTTTGCGAAGTGTAAAGTCAAAAATCACAACTATTCCTTCACCACTGTTTACATTTACAGGAAGAAAAAGGAATCCCAAGGATTTGGTGATGACCCTGCAATGGCAACCACAGGTAAAGTCCACATCTCAGCATAGATAAAATAAGACTTGTAAATCCAAAGTAAATCTGTGATTCTTCAATATAGGAGTCTGCTGAAAAACATGGTTCTGGATCTCCATTGGGAGGTGGACCATGTGACAACAACCATATCTCTGTTGGTGGTGGTGGTCGTTGATGATAATGATAGTAGTATTGTTGTTGTTATTTCTGTATTTTGGTAGCCCTTGCTTAGTAAGCAATGTAGATTTCAGCTGATTTAAGGGTTCCCCCATTTTCTGACTTAAAATAAAGCTAAAGGCTCCAGTATGACAGTCTAAACTAATTCTACAATGGGAGTCCTAAATTTTGTAACTATGTGATACGTACACCTTTTATAAAGCAAACCAAAATTTTCCTTTTACCTTCTCTTACCTTACCTGATTGGGCCAAATCCTCCTTCATTTTGTGTCTTTCACACCCCCACCATACACTGCAGCTCACAGTTGGAGGGTTTCAGTAACAAAACTGTCAGTCTAGAAAGCAATGGGCAGAACTAGTTGTGTTCAGGTGCTGAATGACAAGCTACAAGATTGTGAACTAGTGGTGAAAATGCTGGTAGCCATCCACACTGCAACAGCATTCATCCCAATGCAGTCCAACCATGCACAGTCTGCATAAGTGGCATTTTTGCTGTGAATTTAAGTGGAGTGCAGGAAGTTGCATTAGGTGGCCTTTACTGGCGAGGTCCTCAGGTACTTTTAGGAAGTTACAGGGGCCTAAAAGAAACCAGTAAGATGCACGTGTATGTATGTATATACACACACACACATGTATGTGTGTGTGTGTGTGTGTGTATATATGTGTGTGTGTATATATGTGTGTGTGTGTGTGTGTGTGTGTGTGTGTGTATATATATATATATAATATATATATATATATATATATATATATATATATATATATATATATATATATATATATATAATATATAGTATTTCACGTAATTGAGTACACCTCTCACATTTTTGTAAATATTTTATTCTATCTTTTCATGTGACAACACTGAAGAAATGACACTTTGCTACAATGTAAAGTAGTGAGTGTACAGCTTGTATAACAGTGTAAATTTGCTGTTCCCTCAAAATAACTCAACACGCAGCCATTAATGTCTAAACCGCTGGCAACCGCTGAAAAGAGGGCACCCGTGCTGGGCTCCGCCCACATGTCTGCGTCGTCCATTCACAGAATTCTGTGAATGAATCAACTATGAGTACTGTAGCTTGTAGTTGAACTACAGCGGTGCTGTGGTGTTCATTGTAGTTCATTGATTCTGTCTGTTGGTGTGAAACTGCCTTGCCTGTACGATGTACGAACAGACAGATCACATTGACAGTCTGCAGAGCCTGGCACTGTACCCATGATCTGCTGATCGGAAAGTGTATTTCTTATAAAATTTCGCAAATAAATAATCTTCATAAATGTTGGCCAAAATGTATTCAGTTATCTTTTTAGTAAAAACAAATATCCCAAATTAATTTATAACCAAAAATTATTATTTTTCCAAAAAATTTTTTACATTTTTATTTTTTTTATTATTTGTTTTTTTTTTTTTTTTTTTTTCTTACATACCGTCACCCTAGCAGTACAGTGTCACCATAGTGACACTGTACTACTTGTGGAGGGTGATGAAGATTTTATTTTTTTTTTTTACACTGATTGCTTTTACACCCATAAAGGCTGTAAAAGCAATAATTTCTCCTTCTGTCTGGCTGCATTCTTGCAGCCATTAAGAAATACTGTGCGAGCTGTGATTGGTCACAGCTTGTCACATGGTACAAGGCTGTTGTGAATAGCCTTGTACCATGTGACCTCTGTGATCATTCACAGATTTCACACGTAGTAAGCAATGATGTCAGAAGTGACATTTTGCTTACTACTCTGCATGTGATCACTGATTGATAGATGCTGCATTGAAGGCAAAGGCTGGTCACACCAAATATTCATTTGATTTGCGTTTCTCTCCTGTTCATTTACTTTCCATTTTGATAGTTGATCAAAATGCCACCGGTAAAACCATTCCTGTTTTAGGAGTCGTCTCATTGTTCCCCTTCTAGTGCACCTGTTGTTAATTTCATTCAAGGTTGTTCTCTCTCGCTTCCGTAACCTGGAAGTCCCCGCCCCTCCCGTTGTGCTCTGTCACGTGGGTTTACAGGCGCCGACGATCTGCATCTACCATTTCTGGGGTACCTGGAAGCAGGAGGGGGACCCCTGCCTGCCTATCTTTTGGAACGAAAGGGCTCTATATACCTGGAGGTACTGCACCCAAGGCCGATGTCAGTATTTGAGAGGGATGGTCCATGTGTCCTTAGGATCTGCATGTCTGGCTGGTCATCTGCATAAGAGTGCACAAAGGCGCATTTAAAATGTGCGGTCGGTGAGTGCGCATTTTTTTTTCTATCCGATACCAGTCACCTTTATAAGGAGGAAGACCTTCATACACCTATGGTCACTTAATTGTGGAAGGACTTTATGAACTATTTTATTTGTATTCATTTTAGCATGTTCTTTTTTTAATTAATACACCAGCGCTGCACTATATATTATTATTCTTGTTAATTTCATTAACACCAAAGTAGCTGAAACTGATTAACAACCCCCCCTCTGCTACATAACTGACCAAATCAAATATCTCAGGCGTTGAATTGACTTGATGCTATACTCTGATTAAAAAGTGTTCCTCCCATTTTTGTGAGCAGTGTATTAACACTTCTATTTCTGAAAGCTTTCTTAATTTAAAACATTTTTTCACACCTGCCTAAAAGTTTTGCACACTACTGTATATGTGCAAAAGGGGTATTTAAGTGGTGACAGGTTTGCTTGGAAGTTAGAGATTGTGTTCTTAGCCAGTTTTAGCAAGCTGTTGCACATTATTTATCAGTATGAAAGCAGTTTTTCTATGCAGTATTAGGTAGATGTTCAGCAGATAACATTTAAGCATACTTAAGATAATCCTATTGGCAAAATATCCCTTGGGTACTAATGTGAAGGCCCAGACTTTAGAGGGAATGTATGATCTTTTTTAAAGTCTTTTAGATATAAAGGCGATTGTGACCATATTTGTATGCATATATGTGTGTGTATTTGTGTATTTACTGTACTGTGTGTGTTTGTAATCTAATTATATATGTGTGTAATATATATAATATGTTATCAAGTGATGCACCTCTGGTTAGATTCGGAATGATGGTGGCTGTTTTTGAGTTTCTGCAGTTGTGTAGAGCTACTGTATATTAAGGTAGCAATGGACATATGCTGTAATGAATGTGGATACTTTTCAAAGGTACACGTGTGTCTTGTCAGTGCAGTAGCGTGTTCCTTTGCTTTTTTTCTTTTTGAAGCAACAAGTAAGCAAAGATGTGTACTATTTATTTTAATACCAGTTATAAGCTACCTGCTGACCTCTGCATTGCATTTTCTGAAAGATATTTTATTTGTTTCTATAAGTTGGAGAAAGAGATGTGTAAAGTGTTTTATAAATTTAGCTTTAAAACTTAAAGAACAATTCTAGTCACAAGTGTTAGTTTCCCATGCAGTGGGGCTGTGATCACACTGCATTATTATTATTATTATACAGGATTTCTATAGCGCCAACAGTTTGCTCAGCTCTTTACAATATAACGGGAGACAATACAGCAACAATACAGTTAAATACAAGAGGGTTAGGAGGGCTCTGATCCTTGGAGCTTACAATCTAAGATTATTATTATACAGGATTTATATAGCGCCAACAGTTTGCTCAGCTCTTTACAATATAACGGGAGACAATACAGCAACAATACAGTTCAATACAAGAGGGTTAGGAGGGCTCTGATCCTTGGAGCTTACAATCTAAGATTATTATTATACAGGATTTATATAGCGCCAACAGTTTGCTCAGCACTTTACAATATAACGGGAGACAATACAGCAACAATACAGTTCAATACAAGAGGGTTAGGAGGGCCCTGATCCTGGGAGCTTACAATCTAACATTATTATTATTATACAGGATTTATATAGCGCCAACAGATTTTTTTTGCTCAGCACTTTACAATATAACGAGAGACAATACAGCAACAATACAGTTCAATACAAGAGGGTTAGGAGGGTCCTGATCCTGGGAGCTTACAATCTAAGATTATTATTATACAGGATTTATATAGCACCAACAGTTTGCTCAGCGCTTTACAATATAACGGGAGACAATACAGCAACAATACAGTTCAATACAAGAGGGTTAGGAGGGCCCTGATCCTGGGAGCTTACAATCTAACATTATTATTATTATACAAGATTTATATAGCGCCAACAGTTTGCTCAGCACTTTACAATATAACGGGAGACATTACAGCAACAATACAGTTCAATGCAAGAGGGATATGAGGGCCTGATCCTGGGAGCTTACAATCTAAGATTATTATTATACAGGATTTATATAGCGCCAACAGTTTTTGCTCAGCACTTTACAATATAACAGGAGACAATACAGCAACAATACAGTTCAATAGAAGAGGGATAGGAGGGCCCTGCTCCTACACTGCATGGATGAAATGCTCATTCTTGTCTAGGGGTTCGGAAAGCAGAGATATACTTACCTAATCCACTGATCCTCCAAGTGCAAGATCGGTCCCTGCAGCTGCTGCCCCCTTTCCCCACTAGCAGTCTTGTGAGTGGGCTGTTCCTGACATCATCACTCCCATAGAACGGCTCCAGACATGAGTATAGCAGGAAAAGTCTACTGATGGACATGGGGGAGCACAATTTTTTTTGGAAGATCGGAAGACGGGGTAAGTATAGCTTTTTCCTGAGCCCTTGGACAAAACGAGCACTTAACCCATGCAGTGCGGGCACATTCCCACTGCATGGGAAAATAAAAAATTGGACTGGAGTTCTCTTTTAACTCTAAGCATGCTGTATATTAAAAATAAAAAAAGAAAAGAAGCTTAAATTAATAAAGCTTTGTATTTATTTAACCGCTTCCCGTCTGCCCTATA